AGTATACAACTTAAGCATGTGAAGAAGTTGAAAGCTGAGTGTGGCAAAGCTGAGTGTGGCCAACTCAAGCCAACTGGCTTTACGGCCATGTGGTATGCCACTTGAGTCTTGTATGGCTTGATTTTTCTCACCATTATGTTGACGACAGAATAGAATTGGGGCTGGAGAGATGGCTCGGCGGCTAAGATTAAATATTTGTTCTTGCCATGCGCTGGCATTCAATCCCAAGCACCTACATGGTGGCTCTGAACTGTCCACAGGGTATCCAATGCCCTCTTCTGGCCTCTTGGGGCACCAGGCACACATGTGGTACACAGGCATATATGTGAACAAACACACTCATAAAACAGAATAATTTTTAAAAAATGAATGCAATCAAACTGTACTGGGAAAGGGTCTTAGAAATATCTCAGTAATAAAAGAAAAAATGGTACCAGTTTTTATTTATTTATTTTTACCAGTTTTTAATTTATTTTTATTTTAATGTAAAAATATGTGTATGGGTGTTTTGTCCGCATGTATGTATATGTACCGTGTGCATGCCTGGTGTCTGCAGAGGCCAGAAGAAAGGTTCAGTCTCCTGGAACTGGACTTACAGATAGGTGTGAACTACCATGTGGGTCCTTTAAGTTCTGTCTTAGTTAATGTTTCTATTGCCATAAAGAGACACCATGACCACAGCAACTCTTAAGAAGGAAAACCATTTCACTGGGGTGGCTTACAGTTTCAGAGGGTTAGTCCGTTATCATCTTGACTTGCAGACAACAGGAAGTGGTCTGTTTCACTGGGCATGGCTTGAGCATATATGAGACCTCAAAGCCGCCTCCACAGAGACATACTTCCCTCTAACAAGACCACACCTATTCCAACAAGGCTATGTCTCCTAAAAGTACCACTCTCTTTGGGGGCCATTTTCTTTCAGACCACCACAACTGCAGAACTAGTTCTCCAGCCCCCAAAATTTGGCTAATTGTTGCAATAAATATAATAGTTTCTATCTCATGGAAAAGGGTTTGATATCCAAATTAATACAAAACATTTTTAAAAGATATTTTTACTTATATGTGTATATATGGTGATATTTTGTTTGTGCTATAACAAATAAAGCTTGCATGAGGATCAGAGTGTGGAGCGAGCCACTAGTTAGCCATAGAGGCCAGACAGTGGTGGCACATACCTTTACTCCCAGCACTTGGGAAACAGAGGCAGACAGATCTCTAGGAGTTCAAGGTCACTCTGGGCTACCTTAGATTGATCCACTCTGAAAGAGAACAAAGCCAGGAGGTAGCTCACAACTTTTATCCCAGTACTTGGGAGTCACATGTCTTTAATCCAACACAGGAAGTGATAATATGGCTGAGTGGAGAGATGAATATAAGGCAGGAAGAGACAGGATCTCAAAGCATTCAGTCTGAGAACTTGTAGAGAAAGGATACCCCATTCAGCCTGAGGATTTTGTAGAGGTAAGAACTTGTGGCTGGCTGCTCTGCTTCTCTGATCTTTCAGCTTTGACCCTGTAATATCTGACTCCACATTTTCACTATTAAGACCAATTAGAATCATTATATATATATATATGTATATATATGTATGTATAGTGTGTGTGGTATATGTGCTTGTGTGCTCACGTGAGTTTACGTGTGCTTCGTGTGTGTGTGTGTATGAGGAGAGTATCAGATCCCTTGAGACTGGAAATACAGGTGTTTGTGAGCTGCCTGATGTGATTGCTGCCATTTACGTTCAGGTCCTCTGCAAGGGCAGCAAGTGTTAAGTGCTGAGCCATCTCTCTATTAATCTTGCCATCACCCTAACTGTATTATTCTGAGTCCTGGGATACAGTTAGAAAAAGAGCAGCATCTGTGCTTTCAATAAGCTTATTAGAGGAGAGCATAATAAATATTAAAAAGCAAACGTGGTGTGTCTAATAGCGATGAGTGCTAAGGAGAAAAACCGAGGAGAGACAAAAGGTTCCAGAAAACGGGAGGCAAAGAAGAAGGCAGTGTGGAGTGACAGATAAAAATGTCTCTTCCTTCCTGAGGAGGTGGTGTTGATGCAAAGATCAAAATGAAACAAAGTCGAAAGCCGTGGAGATTTCTAGGTTAAATCCTTGCAGGCTTAGAGAAACAACAAGAGCAAGAATCTTGTGGCGGTCTAGAGCTTGCTAAGTTCAAAGAATAAGAAGGAGGTTACCCTCTGGGAAAGGCCATGGTGTCCATCATGGAAACCTGACTGGTGTGATGAAGGAATGAAGAATGGGCAGACACGCGTACAGAAAAGCTGGCATCAGGCGGAACACGTCACTTTGATGGACCCGCACCAACTATTAATAACCTGGAACCTTCCTTGCTCTGTTTATGATAGCCAGAAAGAGAGGCTCGCTGGTCTGAGGGGAGGTCTCTGAAGGCCCTGCAGTCACCCGGGAGGAGGAAGCTGCAGTTGCTAATTTTTGTGTACACCCAGTTGATCATTCTTATGCATGCACACTTGGACCAGAGAAAGGCTTTTGTTATGCCTCTGAGCCTCACCCAGACGAAGGCTTTGCCAGTTCCCTTGGGTTTGAGGCATCAGTCCTTGTCAAAAGTGCACGTTTACTCGGGGCGTCATCCAGTCCTTATACATACACTCAAGGTTTTCTCGGCTCCCTACAGAAGACAGATAATTTTAGAAGGACGGAGAAATAGCAACATGCTAAATAATTAAGGCCCAAAGGCTGTTGTTAGGATGTGGGTTTTAATTCTCTGTTGAGATGAAGTTGGTAGATAGTGCTAAACAGAACTGGAAAACAGAGAGAAGACAGGAGAAGACGAGAGGAGAAGCAGGGAAGGGAAGGGGAGCAAGAGCAAGCTCGATAGACAGACCGGTGTCGTTCTTAGTTTAAACACCAGCCATCCTAGATTCTAGTTAACTCTGAAACGTCCAGAGACTAACATTTTAAAGATAGGTTTCATTATGTCATGCAAATATCTCCTAATGAAACAGTAGCAGTTTCAGTAATCTCAAGTGGTGGTCTTTAACGTGTCCCGAGAGACTGAGACTGTACAGCTGCGAGATACAACGGACATGGGCTAACTGCGTGTGCAGAGACAGCCTTTAAATGAGGGAAAAAAAGCAACTTCATTTTTATTTTTTTATTTTATTTTACTTTTTTAAAAGACAGAATCTTCTTAAAAATTAATTTATTTATTTATTTATTATGTATACAGTGTTCTACCTGCATGTATTCCTGCATGCCAGAAGAGAGCACCAGATGTTATTACAGATGGCTGTGAGCCACCATGTGGTTGCTGGGAATTGAACTCAGGGACCTCTGGAAGAGCAGCCAGTGCTCTTAACCTCTGAGCCATCTCTCCAGCCCCCCTTCATTTTTATTTTAAAGTAAGAAAGCATTATTCAGTGTTTGATGTGGTGGTGGTTTGAAAAAAAAATGGCCCCCCAAAGGGAGTGGCACTATTAGGAGGTGTGGCTTTGTTGAAGTCAGTGTGCCCTTGTTGGAGGAAGTGTGTCGCTGTGGGGGCCCGCTTTGAGGTCTCACGTTCAAGCTTTACTCGGTGTCACAGACCATTTCCTATTGCCTGCAAGAAGCAGGACTCAGCACCACATGTGCCTGCAGGCCACCATGTCCCACCATGATAATAATGGACTGAACCTCTGAGACTGTAAGCAAGTCACCCCAATTCAATAAGAGTTGCATGGCCATGGTGTCTCTTCACAGCGATAGACACTCTAAGACAGAAGCATTTCCTTCTTGTTTGTTAGTAATTATTTCGCTATGTGGGCTTACAACATTTTATTGGTGGAGACGATACAAACATTTGAGCATGGTGTAAAATTTGAGATGGAACTTTAATTTCAATTTGAAAACTTAAAACCCCAAAGGGACAGAAGATGCAGGGACAGAGAAGTTAGTCAGCTCTCCGGCTAGTCGAGGAGATTTACTCCTGTGCCATCAAAGTCTGTCTTCCCATGCCACTTGCATAGCAAAGCTTCGTGCATGTAGACACCCACTTTATGGCTAGGTTAACACTCCGTACAGCTGCAGGGAAGGCAGTCCCTAGTCTCTGTAGAAGCGAATGGCAACTAACTGTTACCACAATTTGTATATGCTTAAATTATCTAATGTATATACAGTTTGGTTATCTGTATGCCTATCACAAAGATTTGGGTCCTGGAACATTGTTGGTACATGATAAACATTACCCTCTAAAAGAAAGTGCCTACATTGAACGGTTGGATGTGTTATGCCAATGGGTGTGGGCCCCTGCACTAAAGCACACACACACACACACACATGCACACACACATTAAATTTCTAGTGCTTGAAACGGGAGCTGTATGATACTTGGACGAAGGCCCTGCATTATCAAACAGCAGCGAAAACCAGAAAGACTTCTGCTTTTGTGCCTGAGTCCATTTTAAGTGTTTAAATTGCCCGGCTGAAAGACATTACCAACTTTTCTATTACAAGACTAACATAATTTCCCAATAACGTGTGATCAATCTATCCAAGAATTACCGTTACAAAGCTCCGAGTGATTTTTTTTCTTCTTTTTCATCTTGTTTAACCGCAACCCCAAATCGTGAACTGGGTCCCTTTCAGAATCGTGGCCCGTTAGGTAGTCCATTAGGTAGGTGGGCACCTGCCAAAAAACACCGCGCCAGCCTTGCCCTCGGATGCTGGAAAGAACCCTGAGCATCTAGAACTTCACTATGACTATTGCGCAGACTCTGCGTCCCACGCAGGCTTATTAGGAAGAAGCCAGAAAACTGCCCTGAGACACGTGAACCACGGGGGACCAACCCTGGCCTCCGCTGCTCACCGCTTCGGAGTCTGGAATTTACAATCACGAAAGTTCTACCTCTTCAGGATTGGCTCCAAGGACGCATGACATCATAGCGCTTGATCCAGCCTCCGGGCCCGGATTGGCTGGCCGCGCCATTGTGACGTCACGGTCAGCCCACGCCGGGGTTGAAGCTGCCGGGCGCCTTCCTCTTGCATCGCGGCTGCAGCTCGCTGCTCTTCCCGCGTCCGCTTGCACATCCTCCTGCTCGAACGGTCCTGCTATCGCCTGGTGCTGCCAGCCGCCGCTCAGACCGAGAAGTGAGCCACCTCCAGGAACTTGGTGGGTGCCGTGGCACCGGGGCGCGGCCGGGCTGCTGGCGCCGTGAGGTCCGAGCTGGGCAGGCAGGCGGGGTGGGGTGGTGGTGGTGGGGACGGTAGGCACCGGGGCCGAGTGGGGCTCTGCCGGGATGCTCTCGCACCTGTTCGTGGGTGGCAGCCACTTTGGCGCTCTGACAGGCGCGGAGATCACAGGGAGGGATGGCGGCGCGCTAGGATCTTCCGCAGAGCTTTCTCCAGGCAGCAGCACAGGAGCCCGCGCGAGTCCGGGCGGCACTGGGCGTCGGGGCCGCGCGCTGGCCTTTCCCTGCTCCCCCCACTCCCTTTGCCGCTGCCAGGGACGCTCACTAGCCCGAGACCACTCTGCCTGGTATTAGCAGTCCCGCTTGCCCCGCGAGGGTGGGGATCCAGGCGCTGCAGCTGCAGGCAGCGGCCTGGAGTCTGCAGATCCATAGAGAGCACTTCTCGGAGTTTTAGGGAAAGTGTCCTTAATTGTTCCTTGCCAGCAAGGCTTCCCCTTCCCTATCTTTGGGGTGAAGATAGTAACGCCCAGATGGAGAGTTGCTCCCTTTTAATGATCTTGAAGCCCTTCAGCGCCTTTGAACTTGGTAGCGTCCCTGCTCAAGATTATGAGTTATGCTCATCTCTAGGCTCCTTGATTGCAAATTTGAAGGATGTATTGGCCGAATTTTCATAAGGGGAGGGGGCGAGTGAAAGAACGCAATGTGTGACTCATTAGCTGGACACCCGAGAGGTGTCTGATAAGAAATTGTGGGGAGCAGGCAGCCTCTCCCCAGCTCCATCTCTTTCTGTTTTTTTAATGTCAGGGCCGGTGGCAGGAAGTGCTTCATACTGTTGTACGGGAGGGCCAATGCTGCCTGTTGGTTTTGTAATTGGTTCCTCTAACCGCTTGGCAGTTCCAACCTGTTGGTTTGTACTTTTGTTGCATGCAAGACTCAGGCCACAGCATTTGGGTCAGAATCTTTAGCTGCAGCTGGTTTTGCATCAGGCGAAGGCAGACCTGAGATTTCCGTCTACAGTTGGGCACTGGTGGATCGTTATCTAGTCAGCCCAGGTGCTTGCCTGCGACCTTGAAAGAAATGCTGCCCTTTTCCCTTTGGAGGTTTTCTCCCGATGATAACATCCCTGCTGGGAACGTTTTCTACACGCCATCTCATTTTGCATTTTCTCTTCATCTTTAACTTTCAAACTGAAGACAAAAGGTGGAATGTTAGACACTTTCACAGGATGTAGGAAAAACTTGAAAGAAAAACGAAGGAAGCATGGTTGTCAGATTTTTTTTTTCAAAATAGGTATCTAGTAAGTTCAAACACTGCACTTGCTTGGCTTAGTTTTCTTGTCAGTAAACCGGGTTCCATGTTGCTAATTTATTAGGTGGTTTCAAGAGAGTATAAATGAAAGAACCAAACTTGGGGTCTGCTAGTGGTTTGATAAATGTTTCCTTTTACTTTCCTGGGATTAACAGTGTTTCTCTTGGCGTGGACCTTAGCCCTTGGATGTCTGTTGTTTGCAGAAGCCTTTCCCCCCAGTACTTCCTCCTCTGCTTTAGCCATAATTACTGCTTGTGCTTTTAGAGGTTGAGAATGCACCCTTGTGTTTTATTTCCAACGTGAAGTTTATACACAAATCAAGGCAAAATTGCTTCCCTTGTCTTCCAGGAACTGTAGAGCACATGTCTTGCCTTTCTCTGCCATTCACTAGCCTTTCTCGTACATGTGTGATTCTGCTTTGGCCTGCCAACACATGATAACCATAGGCCACTTCCCTATGGTTGTCTGTCTTTCCCACTGCATGCATCCCCTTTCCGGGACAGTTCACTCGTCTGCCCTTCCTCCTTGCCTCTTTCCCTGCCTTACTTGATGCTGGGAATTGAACCCAGAATTTCACACGTGCTCAGCAAACTTTGCCTCTGAGCTACTCCATCAACCCTGTTTTATGGACTAATGGTAAGAGAATGGATTTGCCAAGTATTTCTTTCCACATACCTGGGTCCCCTGGGGGAGTCTTATCACCCATCTTTTTGTTCGTTTGTCTAAAAATCTGAAGTTAAAGCCTAGCGATGCTGACTTTTCTAAATTCATACAGCTCTGTCTATCTCAAGCGGCATTCCCCCTCCTTGCTATGTCCTTGTGCTTTTGGGTTGTTTGTCTAATCAGCTATAGGCCATTTATGTAATTTGTGCTATTTGTTAACCTTAAAACTCTTAAACTATCCAGGATTAACAATGTGCTGTTTTTGTTCCTTTATTTTTCCTATACTTAGTCCATTTGTTCTAAGACAGGGTCTCATGTAGTCCAGGCTGGCCTCAGCTTATAGGTTTCTGAGGGTAGCCTTCACCTTCTGGTCTTCCTGCCTCTGTTTCTTGAGTGCTGGGGTAGTAGGCGTAGGCTAACACATCTGTTTGGTTCTGTGCACAGCATGGAACCCAGGGCTTCAGCATGCTAGGCAAGTATTCTACCAACCGAGCTATCTCCCTAGTCCATGTTTTATTATCACCTTGCTGACTTTCATTAGCTGGTTTGTATTATGTGTGCATGGATGATGTGTTTGGATCCAAAGATGAGTCAGGCAGTTCCTGTTTCCAAAGCGCTCCTTGATTTGGCTTACACTTTGAGCCTTTTTGTACACACTTATTTTATACGCTGCACCAAGAGGGAGTCAGTCAGAGGTAGATTTCTGGGGCATGCGTCTGTGTGCTTCACGGCACAACTGTCTGTCAGTTACTGCAGTTTCTAGCGATGCTGAATTGGTCAGGATGCTTTTGGTGCAGGAAGCAAAGCCCAGTTTAGATAAGGGCAACCTTACACGCCTGTGAAGGCCTTGAAAGCAAGACCTTTGTCCCACTTCACTAGTCCTCTGAGACAGGTTCTGTCCCTGGGCTCATTTTGCAAGATGACTACCAGCAACTGTCATGATTCCCCGCTGAGGTGCTTACTTAAGCCTTGGCCAGTTTAAGCAATAACTGAGAAGAATCTGATAACCTGGTGTCCATCCCAGCTCTTTCCTCACCTAACCGGCTACCTTTCGGGAGTGCTCGCATTCACACCAGTGTGTCAAAAATGAGTTCGAGGAAGTTTGGAGCATGAACAAGTGTGAGGTCATTGGGCAAGAAGGAAGTGCAGGTGATCGAAGCTGCTGCTAGAGACACAGCAGTATAACGTTAGTCTTGCTTTAATAATAAATAAATTAGTTATTGAGTTATGTCAGACTGTTAGATCACTTCTTGAGAGCAGCCCTCAGGCCTTATTACTTGATACCAGAGCATTCTCACTTAGTAATAAGATGCTTGGGACTAGTGAGATAGCTCAGTGATTAAGAGCGCTGACTGTTCTTTCAGAGGACCTGGGTTCAATTCCCAGTACCCACTTGCAGCTCACAATTGTCTGTAACTCCAGTTTCAGGGTACTGGACACCCTCATGCAAACAAAACACCAGTGCACATAAACTTTTTTTTTTTTAGAAAAAAGAAAGATGCTCAGTTCTTGTTCAAGGTCACAACTCATGCAGCCTAGATGTTTCTTCTGCTGGATCCTGCTTTTTCTCCTGTGATAGTCAGTAACAGAATGTTACAAGGTTTCTTTCTTTCTTTCTTTTTTTTTTTAACTAGAAGGAGTACATTGAGTGCTGTGCTTAAGAAATAAGAGTCTTATCAACATGTTAGGACGGGTGGGCAGGCGTGGGCAGGGATGGAGGGTCGGGATGAATGTGGAGAGGTAACAGTCTGCCTTACCCCACATTATAGCACATGTGACAGACTATAAAGACACAGACTCAGCATGCAGGGCTGAGTAAAGCACACACGTGCGTGCTAACGAGTGTTAAAGTGTGAGAAGGCACGCGTGTTAGGGCATTGGTGTGTTGAACTGACTGCATGGTCCCTCATCTTCACATACCACCAAGCATGAGAGATTAGCTCTGAGCATTAATCTCTCTCTTCCTTTAAAAATGAAAGGAAAAAAAGTGAACACTTCTTAGTTTCATTTTTTTGCCAAGAATAAACCCTTTCTTTGACCGCGAAGAAGGAAAATTGAGCTCTTTTAGGTCTTAGGAAGGCATTGCAACTGGTGGTCAAATTGCAGTAGTGGAAGCAGATTGCTGCTGGCTGGTTTTGACTTCTAGAGCTTGAATCCTTATTCTTGCAGAGAGTTCAGCCTAGTGAAGCAAACTGTTAAGGAAACACATCTGACCACATGTTGAGTTTCTGTGATAGGACCCTCTCTCCCAGTCCCTGATTGCAACCATAAATGTTACTGTCACCAAGCTTGTGGTTCCCATTGGCATGTTTTCCCCACGGGGACCTTTTTAGTTGACTTATAGCTGTCTATTTTAAGCATTGTGTGGGCCCTGGCTTTAAAACAGTCCTATTTGGTGAGTTTTTTAGAGATTTAAGTTCCTGGTTAGGGAGATGGCTTCCCCTTGCAAGCCTGAGGAACTGAGTTATAATCCTCAGAACCCATGACTCAGGGTGCGAGTGGGGAAGGGAGTGATGGCACCCATTTTTACTCATAGCACTGGGGAGACATTGGTTGGCAGGTCCCTGGAGCTCCTGACCATGCAGCCTTGACACCTTGGAAAGTTACAGACCAATGAGAGACCCTGTTGTGCCCCCCACCCCCAAAGGAGGGCACCTGAGGAATAATGATATCTCTGGCGTCCACAAGCCCACGCATGTACCATTAACACAAAAGGCACAATTCACGTCCTTCCTGCCCCTTCCTTCTCCACCTATTGTGTTTGGTGTTGAGTTGTGATTTAGTCAGGAAATAAAGGAAACCCTAGTGCTCCTTGTTGGGAGTTAGACATTAATGCTTTGGACTTACCGTCTCACGTTGTTTGAGGTTCAGGACATAGCTTGTTATTTTTGTTGTAAGATTTTCAATGCTGGCTCTGTCTTGCCTTTTCTAACTAGAGTAACCATTTTTTTTTTTGGAAAAATACTCGTGATTTTTAAGTATATTCTTAGTTACTATGTGAGACGAGATGTCCCCACACATGCTAGGTGTGGTTTTTTTTTATGGTTGATTGCCACC